CGCAGAGCCGCTCACTGCTGTCTTTAACATGCTGCTGACGGGCGTGCTGCTCGGCCATCGCAGCATCGCAGGAAGCCAGCTGATCGTTCTTAGCGTTTCTATTCCTTCCTACGTTTGTTTGCAGACAGGAATGGAAATCCAAATAAACACGGACCCATTTCCTCTGGGTGTTTCAGACAGGAAGTGTAGGAGCTTTAATAACTTCCTGTGGTCACACCAGCAGAACCCACTCAGAATCCTCACTGCCTGCAAGTTTCTGATGGAAATCCATCGTCAAAAATCGACATAGAACAATAAAGCATATAGAGCTGCAGCTGTTGGTGTAGTGGCCGTCCTCCGTAGCAGTTAGTGAGACTGTCTGATGGCGCTCCGTCCTCCTTTGTTTGTCACCACAATCAACCCAAACCCCCTGGTCTCTGGTGAGCGTCCCCCGTCCGCCCCGCCCCGCCCCGCATGGTGACCCCGGCCCTTACAGCTTTGTGTGGCTCTGGGAATGTCTCCTTCAGCAGACCCAGCTGGAACTGGAGCTCCAGGAATGAAAAGCACCCCCCCCCCTTCAGTCTGAGAGCGACCTGTAGGAATAATGCTGTGCTGCAAATGAGTTCTGGAAGACATGGCGACCTGCAGCGTTCTGAGGTCTAAAGGCTGATTTATACTCAGAAATCAGGTCGTCTGCGTGTGTGTCGCAGTTAACGCAGATATGCCCCGCCCCTTCAGCAGACACTCTGCTGCACCTCTCCCAAATGGTAGGTGACTGCAGACAGGAGGCCTCTGATTGGTCAGATTGATTTCCTGTTTGGTACCTTACAGGCTTGTTTTGTTTGTGGAAAACGACTCGGGAAGATGGAGCAGCTAGAAGAGCGAGATGCTCGAGGAAGCTGGGACCCTTTTTACACCTGGATCCCCTTTTTTTCGCCCTCATGTCCCTCTGTTGTCGCACAAACTCGCCCCCACTTCCTCGCCGCCTCGGCCGTATCTAGACCCATAGCTAGTTCCTGTTGTCCCTCTTGCGTTGTGGCGTGGAATAACAGCGCAAAAATATCTGCGAAAAGCTCACTGCGACACGCTGCAGGAGGATAAACAAGCCTTAAGGTGGCCGGAGACGCCTCAGTCTGATTGCTGACGGCGCCACGCAACAGGAACTCAACAACTGTTACTTTGATCAAAGACAAAACGTCTCAAACCGAATCCCAGATTTAGAGCCAAAGGTTTAGAGTCACTGTTTGATTTTCCTTCACCTTCTAAACCCCTGAACACACCGAACCTGATTTTCCGTCCGATCCAACAGAAAATCCTGTGAGACGTGGTTGTAGCTTTTAGCGCTCATTGCAGGTCAACAGGGCTGATCACACAGACATGATTTTTTTGCAGGGTGCAGCGCAGCTCTGACTAGGGGTGTAAATCACATCCATCATGGCGATTCGATTCAGTATCGATTTCCTGACCCTAAGATTCGATTATTTTCGATACTCAAGAATACACCACGATGCGATTCGATTAATTATTTTTTTTTTAACCCTACAGGCTAAACAAAGTTTCAAGTTTGAAATAAATCAATGAAAGCTGTAATAGCGTTATGCATTGTTTTTAGAAACAACAGCAAATAACAGAAGTAGAAAAGTTGCATCAAAAAAATACTGCACAAAATCAGTGCAATGAGTGCAATGAAATACCTCGGCTCCAGACGTCCCGCCCCCTCCACAGACGCTCCACTGCACCTCTCCCAAATTGTAGCTGACCGCAGACAGGAGGCCGGCTTGTTTTGTTTTTCCACCTGGATCTCCGCTCTTTTTGGCCCTCATGTCCCTCTGTCGCTGGACTAAACTCGCCCCCACTTCCTCGCCGCCTCGGCCGTATGTAGACCCACAGCGTGTAACAAAGACCATGCTTCAATATTGAGCATAATTTAAAAATGTCTGTGTCAAGCTTAATGCAACACACTGCTGTAAGAGTATAACCGGGAAGCGAAGTAGGAGGGCAAAATAGGTTTAGCGCCACCGCAGCACGGGAGGGAGAATTACGCCCAGGAGAAAATGGATAAAAATAGACCGGAGGAAAAAAACAAAACATGAATTGATTATCTTGCGGATCGTCGGCTGTTGGATCGATGCATCGATACAAAACGATTATTATTTACACTCCTAGATATGACTGAGATAAAACCCAGGTCTGTTTTGTTTGGACTATGCAGAAATTCAAAGGTAATATTATGGGTCTGACTGGAAGAAAGACGCGGTTACAAAGTAATACACATTCGCTTTGGAGGGAATAGGAAATAAAATCTGTTAATCGTGTGGAGAAACAGTCAGTTTGGAGTCGCATAAACAATCAATTAAACTTTTTTAAAACAGAAAATGATTTCAAGAGGACAGAAAATGGATAAAATAGTGGATCCTCTCTGAGCCCTAAAAAACAAAACGTCTTTCTTAATCCCCTCTCACTGCCTCATCCAGCATTTAAACCTTCCTCGGCCTTTATTGGAGCGTTTTTCTTTTCTTTAAACATTGTTCACCTTATTTTTCTAATACAGACCTATGAAAATTATCTGTTCTGGTTTAAGAGATGCTCACAGACACAAGCTTGGCCTTGCTTTAAAGCTGTGCTGGCTGTTTTTATTTATTTATTTTGATTAAATTTCATCATATGTTCCAGTCAGATGTTGGAAAAAGTTTGAATTTGTGTGGCACAGAGAGAAGTGTAATAGATCTGCTCACTCTGCGCAGTCAGAGCCTCTCTATTCAGTCACTGTGAAAAAATAAATAAATAAAATCGTATCAAAGAATATAAAAGTTGTAGACAACAGTTGTGAGCCAGCGTTTCCATCTACATACAGACATTTTCTCCCTTCTTCCACCAGCTGAGTCAGACTAAGATTAAATCAGATTTCTTGACTTTGACTAGGCCGTTCTAACTCCTGATCTGCTCTGATCTAATCCACCAGAGGCTCTGGGTGGTTCAGCTGCAGGGAGGCGAACCTCCACCCAGCAAACAGAGAAACTGATGATTACAATGTGAGATTGTACTCATTCATTAACAGTCAGAGATGTTACAGGTTTATATCCTTAACAATGAGATCAAAGGTGGTTTCCTCTTCGTCGTTTTACATAAATGTTGCCTAAAACAGAATTAAGTTGATGAGAAATCCTGTTTTGGATGTGGAGCGCAGCTGGTTTTCTTCCAAGAAGGGTGTGAATACTTTCGCAAAGCATCGCGGAGACCAAATAAAGTAAAATAAGGCTTTATAGAGGTGATAAACACACAGATCTGCTGTTTAATAACAGACTGAGACCCCGCGACGCCCTCGATGACGGATTCATCACGACTTCACTCAGAGTTTCTCTGGAAGGTTTTTGTCCAAAACGAAACAAACTAACCGCAAGTCCAACTTTAAAGGGTAAAGAACCGAAACTGAAAAACAAACCAGCAAAGTGTGAAAGGATGGAGAGAATTTAAAGAAGGAGAGTTGGTCCATGTCAACAGAAAACCCAGAGGCCCTCAGGAAGTCTGCCTGTTGAAAGAAGGACTGGTGGGGGGGGGGGGGGGGGGGGGGGGGGGGGGGTTCTCTGTGCTCATCAGACCATGAAATGCTTCATTCTTCCCACAGAATCAAGGTCTCTGTCTTTTCCTATGCAGGAGCAGCTGTTGGCCTGCTTGTGATGCTGCGTAAGAGCTGAGAAATGCAGCCAACTGAGCAGAGGGACTCATTTCCAGCTGCTCCAGACCGTCTCCAGACCGCCAGGCTGCTGCATCTCCATCCACAGACCAGCGGTTAAAAACAGCTGCATGTTTCCCTTTTAGAAACCCAGAGGGCAAACTAGCAGAACGACTCTGAGGCTTATGAACCCAAAGAGGACTGACTGACTTATCATTTAAATCGAAAATAACAACAATAACTTCCAAACAGCTCTGAGAAACTTATGTTTTGACTCATGCTAACATCTGGATCAGTTTGCATGAGTTTGAATGCAAACATCTGGATCAGATTGCTTAAGTTGCAATGCAAACACCTGGATCAGATTTCATAAAGGCTGATTTATACTTCGAAACTAGGTCGTCTGCGTAGGTGTCACAGTGAACAAAAAGACGCCCCCGCCCCCTCCTCAGACACTCTGCTGCACCTGTCCCAAACTGTAGTTGACCGCAGACAGGAGGCCATCTTGTTTTGTTTGTATGACCGCAATTGTGGAAAACAACTTGAGAAGTTGGACCAGCTAGAAGAGTGAGGTGCGCGAGACCGCTTAACCCTTTTCCCACCTGGATCCCCGCTATTTTTCGCCGTCATGTCTCTCAGTTATCAGACAGACTCGCCCCCACTTCCTCACCGCCTCGGCCGTGTCTAGACCCACAGTGTATAGCTCAGACCCGGCTTCAATACTGAGCATAAATCAAAAATATCTGCATCAAGCTCCCTGCAACGCACTGCTGCTGGGGTATAACCAGACCTTAAGTTGCTATGCAAACCTCTGGATCAAATTGCTTAAGTTGCAATGCAAACCTCTGAATCAGATTGCTTAAGTTGCAATGCAAACCTCTGAATCAGATTGCTTAAGTTGCAATGCAAACCTCTGAATCAGATTGCTTAAGTTGCAATGCAAACCTCTGAATCAGATTGCTTAAGTTGCAATGCAAACCTCTGGATCAAATTGCTTAAGTTGCAATGCAAACCTCTGAATCAGATTGCTTAAGTTGCAATGCAAACCTCTGAATCAGATTGCTTAAGTTGCAATGCAAACCTCTGAATCAGATTGCTTAAGTTGCAATGCAAACATCTGGATCACATTGCATAAGTTGCAATGTAAACATCTGGATGTGTGTGCTGATGCTCAGCCTCCTGATTTAACATCCAGAAATTCAAAGTTTGATGCCATGAAAAACAAACATGTTGTCATTTTTAGGTTCCACCTCAAACATCTGGCTGACTGCTGCTGGGAAACAGCTGGATCAGAACCACCGGCCTGATGCTCCATCAACCAGCATCAGCAACACTCCCCCCCTCTCACCTGTGTCCTGTCTGAACTGGTGCATGGACTGGAGGTCGATGATGTAGGGCGACAGCCTGCTGTCCACCTGGCCGAGAACCACGCTCCCTCCGCGGGGGTCGCTGCTCCGGATGGCGGCCTCGATCTGGTGGGAGACAGCGGGGCTGTAGGGCCTCCAGCGGCCGTGCTCGTTCAGCCATTCCCACACCACCACCGCGGAGGCCAGGAGCATGTTGTTACCGGTGGCCCTGTGGAGGAATGAGGCGGTCAGTCTGATAGCTGGAGCTACAGGCTAGCCACGGAGACACACAGCGCTGATTTCTGTCTCTTTTATTTCCTCCTTTCTGCGTTTATAAACACATTTCTACCTCATGGTGGATTAACCAGAGCAGATGGGGCCCGGAAGCTGCGGCTTTCTGGGAGGGAGGCTTACATGGAGCCGCGGAACAGCTAACACCAGGAGGCCCCGCATTCTCCCACTAAGCTCCGGGCTTTTCTCATGGCCGCCGGCTGGTCCGGTTCTCCCTCCGTCTCACCGCGGAATCAGCAGCCGGATAACCGGGCCTAGGTTCGGTCTTCGGTGCTGCTTCGGTCCTCAGCCCGTTCCGGAGGCCTTCCGAGGGGAGCACAGTGATGCACCGCCTCCGTGCCGTGGGTCCCCCACGCAGCGGGATTATTCAGATCCAGCAGGACAGAGATCCCCGTGGCTCCCAGCTTTTCATTCCCTTAGTTTTTAATTTTAACATCGACTCATTTCGGAGTTGATGAAAGACTCCGCGGCGGAGCTGGAGAGGAGGAACCGGCTGAGCCTGTTGGATCAACCCAAAGCAGAGCCTTTGTTCTCCGGCCGCTCGATCAGTGAGTCCAGCAGCTCCACCTCACAGAGAAACAATAAAAACTCACCTGCTGCTCTGCTGCGTCCCTCCGATTCCAAGACTCCTGGAACAAAGTTGAACCAACTCCTTCATGAATTAAATCTACCCTTTAGGCTCCAGCATGGTTCCGTCTTTCTCTCCCCTTCACTTCACACAAAGAATAAATCCTTCTAACCTTTACCTTTCAAAATAAAATAAACATCAAGTCAAGCAGAGAGAAAAATAAAACATATCTGCAGTTAGGAAGAACAATGTAGGCTCTCCATATTGTGTCCTTCCATCTTCACCTCACTGTGAGAAAACCTCCCTGATGAGGCAGCAGCAGCTCCCAATCACTCAGCTCCTCCACTCACCACGCCTAGAAAATCCAACCCGTGGGGAAAACAAGGAGAGCGGAATCACTAAAAACAAACTAACCGCAATTTGTGTCGCAGTATCATATTCATCGGGGTTTCATGCCAATTAAAAAATATATAAACAAATATATATTTGGAATAAACCTTATGTTTTCATATTTTCCATGGTGCAGTTTATCGTAACCTTTAGAAGGGGCAACATGGCGCCACCTGGTGGAGAAGGAATATAATAATAAATGCATATCTGAATGGTTTGGTCCGAGGTCTGTGGTAAAGAATAATTGTTGCCGCAGCTGGATTCCCATGAACGGAACACATTGTGTGAGCAGAATAGTAACTAACAAAAAACAACCACAACCAAGGCGACAACCTGCATGATTAATGTATTTATTCAAACTGTCATTTGGTGTATAGCATCTCCGGCTCCATAGCTCAGGGGTTAGAGCACTGGTCTTGTAAACCAGGGGTCGCGAGTTCAAATCTCGCTGGGGCCTGTGATACTTTTTTTTTTTTTTCTTAGTATTTCTAGTACCTAGAAATACTAATACTAGAAGTTATACTAGAAGTTAAAATGAGTAACTGACGGGACAATCAGAGCATACACAATCTGTCTACAATAGAAATGAAGAAGCAATGTATACAGAATAAAATAAAACCAATATGTTAAATGAATGATTGAGAAATATCACAGTCTATTAAGCCATAGGCTGAAGCCTGTATCGTTCAGGTTCGCTCCACCTATTTAGGGACTACTAAATGACAACTACAATAAAATCCTAAGTGCATTTTGAGCCCATAACCAAAAGTTCTCCAATCGCTTTGCGCCAGTATTTTTACAGTAATTACTTAAAAGTGTAACTATATCGGTAGCCTGGTCACACCGTTAATCTATGCTCGAATCAATCCGCCTAGCCGTTAGCCAATCAGAGGCGGAAAGAGAAGTACAACAACAAACATGGCGGCCCCCATGGAGCAGAGCGTTCCCGTTGGATCAGACAGAAAACGCAAGAAAAATGTGGATTATATATGCATCACACACATATCATCGATGGACAAAGAACGGACACAGCCACTGACAGTTGTTCGTTGGAAGAAGCTGGTTGTATGTGCCCGTAAGCGGCTAGAAATTGACGGAATCGACCGCACCTTGGCGGAGGCTGTATGTGTACACGATGAGTCCGCCAGAAATAACAATGACGATTCCACGTCAACTCTGGCTTGTTCAGAAGACTCTTTCTGGCTTCTTGGGGGGAAAAAAACTTGGTTTTCATCCAACTTGTTATAGGCGTTTCATCGATAAGAAACGAATTGCCAGTGCTGAAAAACTAGCAGAAAAACGGGGAGCATATGGTGGTGACAACAGTGATTCTGATTCTGATCACGAGTCTTCCACAACCACGTCCACGACTAGCCGGCCACCATCTCCAAAGCAGTTGAGATCCACGACTAAATCATTGAGGTCTGGCAATGTACTTCCTACTGTCTGTATAATTTGCAAGAGGGCTGACCGCTTTGTGAAAGAAGGACACAAGACAAAGAAAGAAAAAATGGTCCAAGCAGAAACTATAAATGCTGGTGAGTAGATAATTTGCAGATTGCATCTTTGTTTGTGGCTTATAACCAAAAGCAAAAGTAATACATATGTTGATTTAAAAAAATGCATGCGTAATTGGTGGCAGCCCAAGCCTGCTCTTTTCATTGTGAAGTAAGCATATGAAGGCTATGTGTAGGGCCTCAAAAATAATAAAAGGCATTATTATGAACTGGAAGTGATGATAGGCAATTAATTCATTTGTCAAATAATGGTTAGATTTTAAATTTGTCACCCAACTACCAGTTCAGTCTCGTAAAACAGAGAAAACGTATTTGATATTACGGTATTTGTTGGCAGCTGGTTTATGATTGAACTTTTTTAACTCTCTCTTTGCTAGGGAGTTTGGTTAAAGCAACTGAACTGCAAATGGACGAATCCATCCTCAAGGATGTAAGTGGAAAAGATGCTACAAAGAATATACAAGATTTCTGGGGGCTACAACAAGTGATGAAAGGTAAATTTCAGATAATTCAAGTAGAATATTTGTGAAATACAAATACTTGAGAGTGAACCATATATTGATGGTAGGGTTACATTCTGGGGTTAAACATTTTTGAAAGTTGATTATTCTTACAAATGAAGCCCAGTTTATAGAGAAATTATATTGTTGTAAAAAATGTAGAATAAAAATTTGGATGCAGTTTTAAATAAAACATTTTAACCATAAATTTGTATGAAATGAGATATTCTATCATTGTTAATTTTAAGATTGAGTAAGCATTTTAACTCATCTGTATTTTGCATTGTTTCACACAGGATGCCAGAAGCCTGGGAGTATGCCACTGTGTACACAGAATTAATTTTGTGACAAAATAATTTGGGCACAGTCGATTAAAAAACAAGAAATCTTCAGGATGAAAAAGCTCTCTTCCCTGTTCCAGAAAATGATACGAGAACACCATGGTCAAGGAAGTGACAGGTAATTATGATTCATTAATAGATTTTGATATTATTCACATCAGGGCTGCACAATGGTGCAGTGGGTAGCAGTGTTGCCTTGCAGCAAGAAGGTCCTGTGTTCAAATCCAACCCTGTGTCCTTCTGCATGGAGTTTGCATGTTCTCCCTGAGCATGTGTGGGTTCTCTCCGGGTACTCCAGTTTCCTCCCACAGTCCAAAAACATGTCTGTTAGGATAATTGGCTTCTCTAAGGCTGCGTCTCAATTCGCAGGCTGCGTACTTCCGAGGACCCAGACTCGGTAGGCTGCTCCGGAGGATCCTCAGCCGTTGGTAAATGGGACGGTCTAGCCTTTGGAGCACTTCCTGGTTGCGACACAACGTCATCACGTTTACCCCAAACACAGCGCGAAACAAATTCCGACAGCTCGAGAAATACGGAAAGAACCAACAAAAAAATAGATATGGACATTTTTATTTTTTTTATTTACTTGTTATTGGAGGAGGAGAGTCGGCTTTGACGGCTTCGGCAGCAGCAAAACCTGCGACGGATTTTTCTCAGGCTGGCAGAGCGCAGTGGAGAGGTAAGATCTACCTGCTATTATTCTAACCCACAGGGGCCTGCTAATGATCAGAATATACCAGCTATTAAATAAACGCTTGTCAGCAGATTGATGAATAGGTTTAAATATCAAATTTTATATTTATTTGTAAGTTTGTGATTTATTTGTTTGTAACTTTAGTAATTTGAATTGAATAGTTAAATGTGTACAAACCCTGTAAATAACTGACTTAAATCACTGCTTTCACTATCACTAATGTTGTGTTGAGAATAGGGCTGCAACTAACGATTATTTTAAAAATCGATGAATCGGCCGATTATTTTTTCGATTAATCGATGAATCGGACAAAAAATTTTTTTTATATTAACCTCTTTATTCCAAAATAAACATTTTAGACAGAACAAACAAGCCCACAAGTACAGGTTGCTCATTAACTGTACTGGTGCAATATGAAAAATAAATGTTTGTGTAAAAACTACGCAAACTTACATGAGAAATGTAGCTGTACATCCACAAAATATAGGCTACTTTGTTTCATAAAGCGCAAAAAGAGACAGGCATTTTTGTTTTTTAAAGCCCCTAAGGGGTTCAAACAGTAGGTCCCCCCATTTCAACAAATGAGTTTTTTTAGACTAGAAGAGTTCTGCCTTTTAAGACAGGAAAGTATAGCAGTTAAAGTTGCTGCTTGAGAAAATACTGAACCATAGAGATAAAAATAGCCCTGTGATTCAAATTATAAATTGTATTTGGAATAAAAATGACACATCCTCCAAAGACAGATATTTACATGGGAATGTGGCAGATAATTAATTGACATATTACTGATCTTGCTGGATTTTGTTCTGCTTTACTTCCATAAATTGCAGGATCTTCTTTTCTTTATCTTTGCCAGAAGATTTAAACTTTAAAAGCCTTGCCCTCATAATTTGCAAGTTAATTTATTTATAAAGAAAATATAAACGCTGCTTAAACAAATTTAAATGAAATTAAAAGTAAAATAAGTAGCCAACCTTATCACTGTCTGTAACCTACTAACAAGGTAAGGAAAGCATCAGATGAGCTACCTGAGAAACTAACGTTACGTTTCCCCACTTTAAAATGAAACAAACATGGTTACTCATCCTGCTGATCAGCTCTCTTCACTGCCATTGAAGGCTCCAACGTGTTTTCTTTTCAGGTGCTGCGTCATAACAGTGGTGCTTCCGTGCCATGTTCATTTGTTTTTACAAAAGTTGCATGTTACGACTTTTTTCACTTTACAAAGCGCCGGCTATTTTAATTATTGTGATCAATTTGCGCCGTCAATCCCGGCGCATGCGCGCTTCATTTGCAGTCTGGACGCTGAGGGTTAACTCCTCACTAAAATCCTGCGGCTCTGACTGAGAGGGATTCCTGTGGGAGAGGGAAAAAGGCGTTGGGATGGGGGAGGCGCCCCAAGGCAGGCAAAAGCCGCCAGTGACACCGTAAAAAGTCGCCAGATTTTTCGCTAGTCGCTTTTTTGAAAAATAGTCGCTGGAGGGGTCTGAAAAGTCGCTGAGTTGGCAACACTGCAACTGCGGCGCTGACTCGCTCCGCCATATTTTTTTTTCTTCCCCCGGTTGACGGCGGCGGCGGATGACGCATTAATCGCGCGACACAACTAATCGATGATTAAATTCGTTGCCAACGCTTTTAAAAGTCGATTTTTATCGATTTTATCGATTCGTTGTTGCAGCCCTAGTTGAGAAGCCAAACTGTTGAGAAATAAATCCTTTTTGTCTAAATTATTATCCCCTTACTGCCTGATTTTATTTGCAATTTTATATATATATATATATATATATATATATATATATATATGTATATATATATATATATATATATATATATATATATATATATATATATAAACATAATACAGGAAAAAAAAATCAAAATATAAAAACATAAAAAATAAGTTAAATAGTGGATCTAGATGAAGTAAAATTTAATTTCTAATAAATCATGTAATAAAGATAAGGAAAAAAGATAGATGACTGAATAAAAATAAATATTTTTGTCTTTTTTTTTCTACAGGTCATAACAGCGGATGAAGAGCAGGATGACATGCCAGAGGATGAGGAGGGGGAGAACGTGTAGGAGGCAGTCAGTGGTGCTCACTGGAGGGACCAGCTGTCTGCCGAGGTTTCTGCCCTGGAGGAGGGTCTACCCGACCACCGTTACATTTAGATGGCAAGTAGAATCACTTCTTAGCTGTTCTTATTTCAGGGTTATAAAAACAGTTTTAGTAAAGTCATTATTTTCTGCGTCTTCTTGAACATTTTTAGTAACATGGCAGCCATCGATTGGATCAGCAGTGGAGAGAGGCAACCCCCACCCACCAGATGATGTCCCACTCGCAGTCAGAAGACTCCAAACTCATCTGTGTGGCATCCCATCCAGTCCAGCAGCCCCACCAGGGACTCCTGCTCAGTCACAATTATATATATATATGTTCTCTAGTAATATTTACTGTATATCTTTTGTAAATAGTTGTAGTAGTTAATTTTAAAATCTAATGTCAATAGTTAAAAATGTTTAATAGTTTATTGTAAATACTTGCTTCTCTAAAAATAAACTGATGTCACTGAGAAGTTGTTCTAAGTTTACTTAAATTACAAAGAAGTGATGAAACAGATCATGTAAAAAGGTTAAAAGACTTTAAGAACACACCGACAGCAATAACTTTTATAAACAATTTAATAATTTAATTTAACCATAACAGCAACACAGAACTTCAACTTGTTAAAAAAAAACACCAAAAAAATAATAACATCTGTCCACCATCCTCTCCAATAAATGAAATAATCTGTCCATCCTTTCCGGCCTCCCTCTGCCATCTCATCTCCTCCCTGATTAAATCCACCAACTCGTCACTCCTTCTTCTCTTCCTCCTTTCCCTCCTCTCTCATCCTCATTCTCTTCCTCATCTTCACCCTGATGCCGCTCAGCCTCTGCAGCATCTAGCCCTGGTGTTTCCTCAGGGATGGAGGCAATTAGGACAGGTGGGGCAACAGAGGGCCTCTGTCCTAATACCTCATCCAAGAGGAAAAACCAGGGCCAGGTGGCAGCAGTAGGATTCCCACTGACCCCCTGCCCTGTCCAAGAATCTTTGCATTCCTATAGTAGAGGAAAACAATGTGTGTCAACAGATGCTATTTTCTGTAGTGTTTCATTTAAAGCTAGAAAAAAGGAAGGTTTCATGATTTGGATGGATTAATGAAATTCTACAGAAAAAAACTTAAACGTCTTTTTTTCCCCTCAAAATGTGCAGTGCGCCCTATGGTGCGGTGCGCCTTATGTGTGTTGTAACTGCGACTTTTGAGACCACCTCATTGAGGAGATGATGAAAGAGTGGCTGAATGTAAGGAGACCAGGTGTTTTTTTCCACTCATCACCATCGCTGTTAATATGTAACTCCATGCGTGCCCATCTCACAGCTGATGTGAAAAACATGGGGAAACAAATTAACCCTGTGCTCGCTGTTCAACCGCTCGACATCGGTGTGAACCGGACCCAGCAGGTGCAGCAGAAGCAGCGAGTTTACATGCAAAGTCAATGGTTGACGCGCGTATAGGTGCAGCAAAAGGTCCTGCAGCGCGTTTTGAGCTGCAGGTGCAGCGCGTCAGGAGCGCGCCGCAGTTTTGCTGCTGGACGCGCCGCATCAACCAATCAGAGAAGCTGATCTGGGAGCTGACAGCGAGACAGACACAGCGCTCTGATGACATATGATATTAACGCAAATGAAACGGCTGGGGAGATGATGAAAGGCAGGTGTATGTGAGGAGACCAGGTGCTTTTTTTCACGCATCACCATCGCTGCGTGCCCATCTCACAGCCGATGTGAAAAAAAAAGATGAATCAAATGAACGCTGTGCTCGCCGTTATCCCGGGGGTCTGACAAAGGAACTTCAACCGCTCGACATCGGTGTGAAAGCGGCCGTTCAAAGTAAGGCTGCGAGCGGCGGATGACAGACGGAGAGCACAGTTTCAGGATAAGTGGAAGGCAGCGCCGGGCAAGTTACGCCACCGTTTGCGGATGGATTGTAGATGCTTGGACTAACGTGTCTGCTGGCTCTGTTGTTCAAGCTTTCGCAAAAGCCGGCATTATTTCTGAGGAGCCGCGCTGCACGGAAAGTGACTCTGACAGCGAAGAAGGGGAAATTGGCATATCTGATTTAGCGCAGCTGTTTAATTCAGAAACAGAGGATGATGACTTTGATGGGTTTGATTAATACTTTGTAATAAATACATGAATAAAGCACAAACATACTCAGTTTTGCTCCCGCTCTATTTTTCTACCTGAAAACTTAATTCAACAGCAGCCTCTG